CTCTTTTCCCTGACCCGCTGCAGCAGCCGTAGGCTTGACGCCCGAGAGATAGCATTCTCAAGACGTCTTCTGGTCCCCGTTCAGGGAGCCAATAGTCCCATCATCCCTCTCATACTTGACAAGCATGAGAGCAGGGATGATGACTGCCTTGCACTCGTTAAGAGTGGCTCGGCCAAGGATGAGGTTGTAGGCGGTCAGCTCCTCGACCACCAGGAACCGGATGGTCATGTGCCGACCGCTACCTTTTTCTCCCAGTCGGATGGGCAAATCAATGCGTCCTACTGGATGCACAACTCCTCCCCCAAAGCCCACAAGGGGGTGGGAGACATCCATCATACTATCAGGCCTGTATTTCATACTATCCGACCTGTATTTCAGGTTGGATAGACATTTTTAGCTAATGATGTTTGAGGAGCTTCTTGTGTCAATTAAGATGCGACTAACCAATTGGTTGGCCACTTTGCATTCTATAACCACAGGGCCATCATGCGACCGACGGACTTTGCCTCTATCCTTTTCGGTGATGATGACTTCAAGGAAGGCGGATGTGCTGGCCGCATGTCCCTCATCAACAGAATGGACCATCTTTCTCAGATGGTCCTTCTTGCCCTAGATGGTTGGACCACCACCGGCGAATCCGCCTGTTATCATATAAACCGGTTCCTCATCCTTTTCAGAGCTGATAGCAGGCTGGGGAGTCTTTTTGCTCGACTTCCCGGGATTCAATTTTGAAGCCACTTTGGACTTCACATAGGGTTTTAGTGCTCCTTTGTCGGCCAGACGGTCAAGCTCCCGCTTGAGGCTGAAGCAGTCGTTGGTGTCATGGCCGACATCCTCATGGTAGTGACAGCGTTTATTTTTGTTCCGATTTTCAGCGAAACCTTTCATAAGAGTCGGCTTCTCAAGAGTCATTCGATCCTGAATCTCCATGAGGATGGAGTAGCTGTCCTTGTGGAACTCGTACCTTAGAGTGTACGACTTCCACTCTTTCTTTTTCTTCTGGGCCGGCTGATCGGAGTTATCAATCGCCCAGATCTGTTTTTTTCTTTTTGCTCTCTTCTGGTTTTAGAGACGACTGAGCAGGCCGACTCTCCTTCTGTCGGTTAGACTTCTTAGAGTCCAACTGCTTATTAGAGGAGCAGATCTCGGTCGCCTGTATATAAGCGTCCGCCTCCATCAAGGCTCCTTGGAGGGTGAAGATTTTCTTGCGGACGAGTTCGAACTTGAAAGTCGACCCGTCCTTCAGACCTTTGAAAAATTCTGTAAAAGCCATTTCGCCAGACAGTCCTTGTATCTAGATTCTCACCAGATTGAACCGCCTGACGTATGATCGCAACCCTTCTCTATCTCCCTGCTGCACATGGCCTAGATCAAGGCTCGTTTTCTTTGCAGGGATGTTCATAGAGAAGTTAGAAGCAAACAAGAACGCAAGCGTCTTGAAGCTGTTTATGCAACCAGCCGACAGATTGCCAAACCACTGTTGGGCTATGCCCTTCAGGGTGGCTGGGAAGCATCGACACCATGCGGCATCATCCAACCCCTGTAAGTACATGAGGTGGGTGTATGCCAAGAGGTGGTCTTCAGGGTTGGAGGTACCATCATAGGTTCCAACCATGACATTTTTAACCTTAGCCGGCTCTTTGGCCTCAGTTATTTCCCTGGAGAAAGCAGAGGGCTGCTCCCCAAGGTTTTGTAGCCGAAGCTGCCAGTCCAAAGGCGGATAGTTATATGCCGCCTGTCCTCCGAAGAAGACAAGCTAGATGTAAGGCAAAGTAGGCGGTTTGTATGGTGGCTGTGCCACATACTGCGCCGAAACGATCAGGTGAGGCCCCGACTGCATGAGGGGGCCGCTTGAGGGAGTCCTCGGCACGGAAGGGGAATTCCTCACTGAGGTGTTCTGAAAACTGTCATGATAATTAGATGTTTAGACCGACTTCGACAGCTGCTGATTCCTTAGCTGGTCAATGTACTAACGAGCATCAGGGAATGTTTGTTTGCTACCATCCGGCTGAACATGCCGGATGGCTTTCCTTGTCACCGTTTCAGGGAAACGAAAACTTGACAGGTCAAACTGAGGCCGAGCCTTCTCCGAGTGAGGAGTCGGCCGTCGGTCCCGGACCGACTTCTATAGCCCAGATTTGGCAGGCCTTGTGGCCGACTGCTCCTTTCTAGGGGCAGCCGTCCACTTGTTGATTAGTCCCTTAATTTCACCCTTGAGGCTACTCATGAACTTCATGAGCTCGTCACGGGTGACTGGGGCTGATCCTGCCGCCTGGGAGGCATCAATCGCATGCTCTGTGGGCTTACTTGAGGGTCCAGGGGGCCTGCTAGTACCCGCCTGATTAGCATTGTGCTCCCGCCTGTCTTTCTGACGGAGGCGCTTAGAGATGAGTGACCCGTTAGGGGCCACATAGGTTTTGACATTTGCGTCGCCACCTAAGTCATGGTCCGTATGGACCTTTATTTCTTCCAGAGGCCGAATGGTCTCTGGAGGCGGCACATGATTTTCTTGGGAAGCTATCTTAGAGGTACTCTCCCCACAGACGACGCCAATTGTTTCGGGGTTTTTGTGTCCCTCGGGAGAGTTACAGCTCAATACTGGATTCCGCAAGGTCGCCTGTACCTACAAAGAAAACGGACTGCCGGATGGTCGGTGGTCCGCCTTCGAAGATTAAGTTAGTACGGTATTCGGAGTAAAACGTGCAGTAATAAAGTTATCTGCTTGCATTCCAAGCTCAGGTGTTGTCTGTTTCTTAAGAACGACAACTCTATAATCAATGTACTGTTCATGTGACGTCCCGTCATAAATGAGGGAATTTCCCCTATTTATAGGGTCTTTTGGGAAGTGTGCCCTCCCTAGGGTAGGATGACCTAGGGATTAGGGCACGCCGTTTTGCGGCGCCTCAAAGTTTTGCACTTCCTGAGAGGCCATTTGGGCGTCTCTTAGGGCGACACGTGTCGCTCTCTTATTGGTCCACTTGGGATCATCAAATACCCAAAATCAGGGGATGTATCTGCCTGACACGTGTCAGCATCTGGAAGGTCCAAGGTGGCGCCCCTTCCAGTGACACATGTCAGACTCTGGTTGGGCCACTTAGCCGGGTATAAAATACCCAAAACAACGGTTAACTTCTCTTTAAAAAAGTCTGATTGTAACTTCCTTTTCTTGATGAGAAATCATATAATGGATTTACACTTTTCGGATGATGTGAATATAAGGAGAGACGAGAGGAGTAACTTCAACAAACGAATGAACAACCACTTCATATTCTACAGTTAGTTTCACTTTTCAATGTCCTCCATTCCACGCAATGATTATTGGTAACCCTTGCATTGCGCCTTAAAGTTATGCCTTGGTGCAAGTGAAGGTGTTCCAAAATACCTAACCCAGTTTCACTCGTACTCGACCTGCTGACCCACTAATTTTTAGGCTGTTATTTTTCCTTTATTTTAAAATTAATGGGTCAGGTACCTAACCCAATAAAAATGAAGGGCATTGGTCTGGGCCATAGGCCGCCCTTTATGCTAGACAGATACTCGCTACAATTTTATTTTTCCTTTTTAAAACATTGGTATCAAGTAGCTTCCATTAGGCCTTTCACTCTCTCTCATTCCTATAAATTATAAACCTTTCTCTTATACAATCCCCTCTCTTCTTCACAATGTTAGCCCCACTTTCTATTTTAGAAGTTTTGAAAAGATAATTCTACTTTATTTTAATATTCATCCCTCATATATCTTCTTTATTTTAACATATTATTCTCATTTTTAATCTTCCCAAAAATGGTCCCAGTGTACTATAATAGCCCCAATGTATTTTTTTTATTACAAAAAAGTATGATTTTAATGTATTTTACTGGTCCTAATGTACTTTATTCATTCTATGAGAGAGGAAAATTAAGAGCTGAACTGAACTGAACTGATTGGAGCTTAACTGAACTGATTAGAGCTGAACTGAACTGAACTGAACTGAAATTAAGTAAATGTGAACAGGCCATAAATTTGTAAAACATTGTGCCAGTTATAGTATGCTATAAAATATTGTACCGGTCAAAACATGCCAATAAAATAGGGACATATGGGTATATAATTACATTGCACGGGGTATAATTATAAATTGCATTCTCATGTAAAACACTATAATCATTAAATTTTTGTGTTTTTTTTAATATTTAATAACCAATAACTTTTGATAACAATATAATATTAATTCAAGTTTTTTTTTTTTTTGAAAAGAAATTCAAGTATTTGTTTCAATTAAAAATATTGTTTTTTTTTGGAAAAAAAAAATTATTGTTGTGTTAACATTATAATTCACTGATTCATAATTTGATTAAGTAAAAACCGTGCGTTGCACGAGATTTAAACTAGTGAATTAAAAATTGGTGAAACTTATTAAAAAAATGATGATTTTGAAAAGTGACAAGAGAATAGTAGAAACACATTTTGCTAGTTTCCTATTTTGAAGGCTTCTCTAACATTTTTTTCTTGAGTTTCCTGATTTTTTGAAAATAAAATACCAAAAACAGAAAACTAGAAAAAAAAAAAGTATTTTCCACTTTTTAGTGGTTAGTTTTAAAAATTATGAAATTTTTTGTAAATTTGACTAATTTTTATTCATTATATTTAATTTTTTGAGGGAAATTGACATTATATATCATATGATTTACAAAAACAGAAAATCAAAAAACAAAAACCAAAGAGATACTAAGCGAACGTGTAACTAATTTTTTTTACAAATAATTAATTATATGTTATAATATAAAATTGAATTTGACCCAAATCCAAATCAAGCATCCAATAGACACCCATATCGTTCGTAATTATAAACATACGAGGACTTGCTTATTACCACTCACCACTCATCTTGGCTAAAATCATTAGTTCCCAAAACCAACCCAATCCATGGAAGTTCGATAAGGGTATGGGATGATGCATGGCTGCCTGGAGATGGATCCCACTTTGTTCCTACGCCGCTGTCAAATTCAGATCAGAATTTAATGGTGGGTGACCTCATTGATTATGATGCCATGTGCTGGAATGTTGAGGCTGTTGGAGCAAATTTTGGGGTGGAGGATTGCAACAAAATTCTGAACATTCCCCTGCCTAATATTGCAGTTTATGACAGGAGATTTTGGTGGCCAACATCTGATGGGCTGTTTACAGTCGTTCGACCTATTGGCTTGGTAGATTGGGGTGCACGAATGCATGGAATCTATACTATGGCACGGAGGGGAATGACATTTGGAAGGTTGTTTGGGGTTTGAATGGGCCACCAAAGCTGTGCCACTTCCTGTGGAGGGCGTGCAAAAACACATTGGGGGTTATGGATGTCCTGTTTCTGAGGCATATTCGAACCTCTTCTGTATGTCCTGTATGTGGGTGTGGTAGAGAGACTGTGATTCATTCCATCTTCTACTGCAAATATGCGATTGCTATATGGCAGCAAAGTGAGTTCAGGAACCTTATTGATGAAGCTCCAACTGATTCCTTTAGGGAAATGTTAATGTGGGTGGCTAGCAAATTGGACAAAGTACAGCTTTTACTCTTCTCATGTTTAGCGTGGGCTGCGTGGTCTTGTAGAAATAAGGCGGTTTTCGAAAATGTAAGAGACTTGAACAGCGTTTGGGTTGCATCAGGGTATGTGCGAATGTGTGAGGATTATGGCACTTATAATGCTAAGGTTGGTGGAAGGGTTGTTGTTGCTGATATACCCTCGCGTGCAAGCTGGAGTGCTCCTAGGCGTGGCTGTGTGAAGGTTAATTTCGATGCCTATGTTCCTGATAATGGGACAGTGAGGTTAGGGGTTGTGGTGAGGGATGACTCGGGGTCTTTGCTACTGGTCGCTGTACGAAATACAGGCTGTGTGTGGCCATCTGAAATGGCAGAAGCTGCGACAGCCCGTTATGGGATTGAAATTGCAAGACGAATGGGATACGAGAAGGTGGTATTAGAAGGGGATGCAATCAATGTTGTCAGGGCTATCAAGACCAAGCAGGAGGGAGCAGCTACTATCTTTCTCCTTTATGATGATATTCATAGAATGTCAAGCTTTTTCTCCTATTTTGCTTGTAATCACATTAGAAGGGCGGGAAATACAGTGGCACATTATGCCGCTAGATGGGATCCGGGTAGTTCTAATGAACGTGTTTGTATGAGTTTATTCCCCCAAAGCTTTCAAACTTTGGCGGACCTTGATCTTTAATAATAATATTTTCCGCGGGTTTCAAAAAAAAAAAAAAAAAACGAACGTGTAACTAATTTTTTTTTACAAATAATTAATTATATTTTATAATATAAAATTGAATTTGACCTAAATCCAAATCAAGCATCCAATAGACACCCATATCGTTCGTAATTATAAACATACGTGGACTTGCTTATTACCACTCACCACTCATCTTGGCTAAAATCATTAGTTCCCAAAGCCAACCCAATCCATCAAAACCAGCAAACTCCCCGCCCAAAACCAAAAAAACTTCCCACAAAATTTCATAAAAATGGAGTTACTCTGTCTTTTAGGCTCCATCATTTGGAATTCCATCATCTCCTTTGCTCTTTCTCTCCTCCTCCCCTTCCGCCTCCTCCTCCGCCGCATATTACCTTCCGATGACGACGGCATCATTCTTTACCAAGGTGTTGTTTGGCACGAACGCCGCCGTCCTGTCCACCACTCTTTTAAATACAATGTTCGTTATGCGCTCATTCATCTTGATGTCTCGCCTCTTTCTCCGTCTTCTAACCATTTATCGGCTGATGAAGCTCGAAACCTTGCCGGGACTACTGGCCCCGTGTAAGTTTAAACTGCTCACTCATTCCTTCTCATTTGCTATTTACGCTGTTTTCGATTTATATATTTAATGTCAATGTGACCGTTTCTTTATTAGAGTCCCTTTCTAATATTTATTACTCACATAACAAAGAGAGAGGAAACACTAATAAAGAGATAGAGGGAGTACTAATTTAATACTAAGATAAAAAAATTAGACCAGGTAAACGGACAAATTAATTGTATTTTTTTTTACCACCCAAGCTGGATGATAAACTTGTCAATATGCCAACAATTTTCTTCTAAAACGTCAATTTAGAAATTTTTAAGAATATTAGGCCTAATTTATGTATACATTTCTGAAATATAGTGCCTTTATTTTTCAGTTTTCTCTTAACAATACCGCCTAGTGTGGGATATGAACAGAATCCGTTGAGTTTATACTATTGCTATGACCAAGAAAACTCTTCTACTAATTTGAAGAAGTGTATAGCTGAGGTAATACATCAATCTCAAATACACAATACATTAATCTCAATTCTACTGTGATTTTGACAATTTTGTTTTTCGTCTAGGTAACTAATACACCTTGGGGAGAAAGAGTTACATTTGTTTTTAATCCAAGCTCGGACGTGGTTGCAAAAGTATTACATGTTAGCCCTTTCATGGTATGATATTGATAAACTAATTGGCTCACCCTTTTTCCCCCTTAATTCATATGTGTGCAAACTGTAAAGCATCATTCATTTTATTTGCCAAGATTATGCACATCTTTCTGTCGTACTTAGATAGAAGACTTGCATTTAGACAAGAACTATTATAATATGCTATAATCATAAATTCATAATCATGATATAGGATGATTAGTCCGCAGAGTTGTATGCTAGCTACCTTCCTACCATTCTTTCAATGTGGGAAAATAATATTTCGCACAAACATGAGAAATTCTTACAATATTGAGAGAATAGATTGAAGCACCATCTGTTTGGGTCCCCAAGTGTTAAGAAAACTATAGCCCATATAAGATGGAGGCAACTATTCCTTGACTTTTCGAAAATAAAAATGGACAGGCATTTGGCCTTACCATTTTTATCCTAACCTCTTTCGGATTTCTGCTGTTCATTGAGAGTCCCCTTCTTGGAACCACTTTTTCTAGATTAACCCTGAGGTTAAATATCAGAGGAGGTTACTGCTTAGTGCTTACTGACATCGTCATTTATTCATTTCTTACAATTGAATGTATTAGTGTTATAGGTAAGACTATCGGTTTTTGTATAAATTTAAAGATACTGTTATATGTTCACATCGTTCAGTACAATATATATGGAATGTGCTTGTTATAAATCAATAAATGCTGTATAATTTGGTTATTATTCTTGTATAATGAACCCTTGGATGAGTTTGTGTCTATTACTGTAAAAAGTTTGGTGGGAGATAGGTTAATTTCTCGATGATGTGCTGTATGAGTAGACCTTTTACTCAATGGTTTGTCCCTGATGATGTGCATTGGCAGAGCTATGTTACCTGGACTCGTAGGATACTTACTCTTTAACTTCATAAACTCAATGGACCACTGATTTTGAATGTCTAAATACTAAACTTTATGATTGGGTATTTGTTTTAATTTGATGTTTCTCATTCATATGCAGTAGTTAATTTTAAAGCCACTGTGGTATTTGTCTGAAGAATAAATTTAAATATAAATCAGTGTCATGATACTTGAGAAAACCTGTTGCAGTTGTATTAGCCTGAGTTCTGTAAGGATTGCATAAGTATTAGCTGTTTATCTCAGCATTGCAGATGATTTTGTTGTTTCTGTTCTCATGGTGACTCACTTACCAAACAGTAAACCGTAGCTATCCTACTCAACTTCTGTAAAGATATACCTTCGATTATTTGGTGTCAAATGCTGGATTCCTCATACTAGAATTGATTATAAAATAAATGACTCGTAAGCAATCATGCAGGACATGCAAGGGAGTTGGAAAATCAAGGCAACAGCACCTGGAAATGATTTGTCAGTTGTTATCTCTGTTCATCACCCGGATCTGGGTGAACATTTCTGTGCTGTATTAAGAGCGCAACGAGTGAGTACCTCAAAGGTAGCTGACAAATTATTCTTCTTCTGGTTGATGCCGCACAAAGTTGCAGTTTGGATATATTGGCATGTAAGTGATACTTTTTCAAGGGTAGCAATTTTTTTAAGTTTGAGCTTAATCAACCTGATTCTTTTTGCCTGAATGTTCAAGGATATTTCATGCATTAATATTGATGTTTTTCAAGATACACTTTGAATTATAGTGATCCAGTCATGATTTACTTGGGTCTGTGGCAGAGGAAGTACTAAATCGATTTCAGAATTAGATAATTCAACCTTTATTGTCTCTAAGAGCATCATTTAGAAGAATAACTTTCAGATCAAATAAATAGTCCGACACATTTGATTGAAAGTGACGGAAGCTTTGGCTTAGCAGTTAAATTGGGCTCGGATTATTAACAAGCTGTAGAATGGGCTTTAGCTTTTCTGGGTATCTATGGAACCCAGCATTGGTGAATGAGCTTCCCTGACGAAAGGGAATTAGTCACCTTAGCTCATAAGCTTGATGGGCACAAATGGAGTTAGCTCATTGTTAGCACTAATTGTGATTGATCTAATCTTACTTTAGGCCTTTCACGTAGCATAGATCCCTTGTGGAAATTAGTGTTAACTAATTGGGTGTTGAGATCAAAATATTTGCTGAACGAATCAATAATTCCTTGAGTCTGAAACATATGACAGTTTGGCTGACATATTGTAGACTCATGCTGACAAAATGTTTTTAGATGGTAGAGCTTGAGCAATAGCTTAGACCATATCTAAGTCATGCTGAAACCTTGTAAACAATGAATCTTAAGTATTTTTTTTTAATGCAAATGCCAAATTGAGGTTAAGTTTGTCTTACAGTCAACATAATATGGGTCCATTCTAGCATTATCCTGAGTATGTACAAAGGACCATGATAGTACCAAAATCTTTTGTAAACTTATGGATACATGAAAAAAAAAATAAAAATCTTAAAGGCTCCAAACATTTGAAACAGAGGAGTAGCTCCCATTAAGGTGCAAGAGCAATACAAGCTTACTTTAAAGTGTGCAAAATACCTGAATCTGTCTACGTATACCTTTGTTCAATCATTGCATGCGAGTTTTTACTTCCTTGTACAGATCACAAACATGTATGACACAAGAAAGATAAAACTAGATACAAGCTTATCAATATCTTATAGTACATTTAATAAAAAAAAAAGGAATCAGCAGAGTAGTTCCATGAAAGGTTCTGCTATAGACTTAAGCTATTGAATTCTAGTGGATGAAGTCCTACTATTATTTTCAGGTTTATAAACCGTGTTATCATTATCATTTACCTCTAAATACATATGTTGAGAGACCTACTAACAAACTCACCTAATTGAACATAAATGTATAATTTTTTTAATAATGAAACACAATTTGTAGCTTCGTGAGAAGCTAGAAACTTTGCATCATATAAATGACTCCTCTTAACCTCTTTACATTATTCAAGTAGACTACTCAACCTCCAAGAGTGAGTGTACATCTGGTAGATATTTATCAGGAAAATCATCATCAACTATGATCCACATCTCCAGTATTCAAGAAACTCCAAATTCATCATGAGCTTCTTGATGTATGTCTGGACTTTCTTTATGCCTTTCCATTGATTAATTTCAAGTTATTCTAGTATCAGCCTATGAATCTTGTAATATAGGAAACATTTTGTTGTGTATGCATCAATACATACATACAACATGCTGTCAGAAACATTATGGAGTGATTCTCAATTCCTCTCTCCTACTCGGTTTTAAAACTTTGTGTATCTTGTCCTCTTTATCCATTAGAGCATCAATGCCCTTTCATCTTTGAATAATCAATCTTTTGAGGACCTCATCGATATATGTATATCTTTGTAAAGAGTGCCTCATAATTTCTGTGTTTGTCTTTTATGAGTTAGATTTCAAGAATGCAGCTTACATCTCTAATAATATTTCTTTCATAATTGATCTGAGGAGTCCTAACCCCTTTTCTATAGTAAGCAAGCTCAATATCATTGAGATACGATATCTAGAGAAAGAACTTGCTTCGAATGACCTTATCATACAAACACCGGCCTGCCCAACATGTACATGCATCTATGGTACACCATTTATCTAGCCCTTGTGATGTGGATTAAAGCCCTTTAACCTAATAAAAGATCTAAAATCACACAAGTAGAATAAAGCTTCGTTCTTGATAAGAAATTCGAACCAAAAACGAATGAAAGTAACCGGATATGACCTCGAAAACGACCACTCTTGGAACGGATTCAATGCCTAATCAAATTATCTAGACTACTTCTAGAACTAGATACTTTGATGAACAAATCTTAGACTACTCCTAGAACTAAGAATTGCATGTTCTAATTATCAAAACAACTCCTTGAATTGAAAACTAGCAAAGAAAGTGTTTAAACAAAGCTAAACAATTGTATTGAATTAATTTGATTTTCTATGACTCTAAAGGCCCCAAAAATCCCTTATTTATAGACTAAAAATAAGCTAATTCCATCCCTACAAGGATTAGGACAAACCCCTAACCTTGTCCCCCAATTATCCTAACAAAATAGGAAACTACTTCTAATTAGAATAAACTAATCCTAAACAAACTAAAACTTTCCTAATATACTTAGGAAGTTTATAGAAACTAAATAATAGAAATAAACTTAATCCTAAGTGCTTAAACCAAGAAAAACCCTCTCAAGTGAAAGGTAAAAACTTGCAAGCAAAACTCTACAAAAAACTAAGTATAAAATTTCCTTCTTCCTTGATAATCAAACAAGTGACCCATCCTTGACTTTTCCCTCCAAGTTCGAACCGTATTGGACGTAAAATCAATGTAATTGGCTCTTCAAAAGAATTACCCTCTTGATTCACATCATTCTCCCCTTCTTCAAAAGAATTTGCCCTCAAATTCACTTCATTAGAACAAGTAGAACAATACCATGAAACCATCCAAATTCGACGAATACAAGCCAAAAGAACAATTACCTCAATGCTAGCAATCTTAAGCAATGTTAGAACATCACCACGAGCAAGGCAATAAAGTAGAAATAACCAACTCTCAATTTGGTCCTTGGTCTTCGAAGTTGACCATAAGAACACTTTAGGCTTTAGTTCTCTCCCATGTATGAATGATAATTTCTTCTCTTTATTCATGCCCAACGAATCCACCACTTCTAAAGAAACCATTGAATTTTTCTCTTGATTCACGAATGGCTCTTACAAAGTTACAATAACATCTTCAGTCCCACATGTTGTAGCAACTAAATTTGGTAGAGGAACAAAAATAGTATCAACAACCTTTTGCGATGTTTCTTTTGGTAGATCATCATGAATAATCTCATCTTGAACAACGTCACACACAATGGGAACATCAATTGTTTCAATCACCTTTTCTTCAAGCTCTTTAGAACCTAAACGTTTCCCTTCAATATCCTTATGACAATCTCCCTCCATCTCTTTATGAAACTCTTTTGCGTTCATGGACATAGTAGAAAGTTGATTCTCCTTAGCTTTTGAATGGCTTTCATCAGGAGACAAAGGAATCAATTTATAACGTTTCGTTCCTACCTTGACCAAGTAAGTATTAGCTTCACCATCATGCTTCACATGTCGATTGAATTGCCATGGTCTACCCAAAAGAATGTGACAAACACTCATAGGAATAACATCGCACCGTAGTTCTTCCTTATAATTTTCAATAGAAAATTTTACCAAAGCTTGTTTTTCTACATGAAATCCCTTAGAATCATTAAGCCAACCCAACTTATATGGATTTTCATGATCTCTTGTAAGCTGTTGTAGTTTAGTCACCACCTCGGTTGAAACAATATTAGTGCACGAACCAATATCAATAATCACTCTACAAGTAGTTTTACCAACTTTGCATCGAGTATGAAATAAATTATTCGTTGTAGATAAAACCTTGTGTAGTGAAACACTCTTCTTATTATTATTCCAACGAGTCTCAATTTCGGAAGCCAACTTGTACACCTCTTTGGTAAAATTATAGGAACACGATTCAGCCTTTTTTTTTTTTCCTTTTCTTTCTATCAAGTAATAATTCCTCAAAATCATCAAAATAGTTATTCGTACTCTTTCGTAAGCTTACTACCTTATCCATGATTTTTTTGAACGATTCTTCCATTATAAACAGACATAAAAAGACCTTAAAAACACAGAAACAAACCACAAAAATCACAGCACAACTTTGTACAAAATCGCACACAATACGCACCAACTACCAAATCGGACTAAAAATGGCACAGTTACAGAAAATAGTCTAGTTTAATAGCAAATGAACTCTGAAAATTCTGAAATTTTGCAGATAGAAAGTAGACAAAACCAAAATAAAAAAAGAATCACCTTAAAAGACCTCGTAACAAAGGAGAACGACCCTTTGAAGTTGACAGAAAACTGAAGCTTTGATACCAATTTGATGTGGATTAAAGCCCTTTAACCTAATAAAAGATCTAAAATCACACTAGTAGAATAAAGCTTCGTTCTTGATAAGAAATTCGAACCAAAAACGAATGAAAGTAGCCGGATATGACCTCGAAAACGACCACTCCTGCAACGGATTCAATGCCTAATCAAATTATCTGGACTACTCCTAGAACTAGATACTTTGATGAACAAATCTTAGACTACTCCTAGAACTAAGAATTGCATGTTCTAATTATCAAAACAACTCCTTGAATTGAAAACTAGCAAAGAAAGTGTTTAAACAAAGCTAAACAATTGTATTGAATTAATTTGATTTTTTATGACTCTAAAGGCCACGGAAATCCCTTATTTATAGACTAAAAATAAGCTAATTCCATCCCTACAAGGATTAGGACAAACCCCTAACCTTGCCCCCCAATTATCCTAACAAAATAGGAAACTACTTCTAATTAGAATAAACTAATCCTAAACATACTAAAAACTTTCCTAATATACTTAGGAAGTTTATAGCAACTAAATAACAGAAATAAACTTAATCCTATGTGCTTAAACCAAGAAAAACCCTCTCAAGTGAAAGGTAAAAACTTGCAAGCAAATTCTACAAAAAACTAAGTATAAAATTTCCTTCTTCCTTGATAATCAAACAAGTGACCCATCCTTGACTTTTCCCTCCAAGTTCGAACCCTATTGGATGTAAAATCAATGTAATTGGCTCTTCAAAAGAATTACCCTCTTGATTCACATCACTTTGCCAGTGAACACTATTCAGGGAAGATGATAATCATAATGAAGCAAAGCTTTTTATTACTTTCAGAGTGAGGTGAGAACCTATATAAGGCTTCATAGTTTCTTCATATCTTCTAGACCTTCCAGTTTCCAAAATTTTCTTAACTTCAATTTATAAATAAAGTTGTTTACTATAAAATCCCAATATATTATGGCTTTAAAACTATATGACTTACAAAAACCATAAGAGATCAATGACATCAATCACGAATCCATGATATTGTAGAGACTAGAGGGGACTAGAAATTAGCAAAGGCTTCAATGAGACAGTATAGTTTCATATCCTAAGTTATGTACTACAAGTAAAATTTTGTGTTTAAACTGATTTTGAAAAGTCAAAAACTCAAAACACCCTTCTTTGAACTTTTAGTCATATTTCTTAATGTTTCACAGTTTATGCATTGTCTCTTTCAAGATGTGCCCAAGTATTTTATGCAATAGTTTACACAAGTATTCTGCTAGTGGTACTGTGATATAAGTGGTAATGTATTATGTATGTCACATTGCAATGGACCCACATTATCAGAAGTCCATGAAGGATTGTTCATTTACTGGCAAGATCAAATGAAGTGATTAAACTTTGAGATGGATTTGCAAATTCAAATTACACATATCAGGCACTTTTTAGTTCTATTCTCATTCCAGCTCACACATTATCTGTTTTAAATCATTCTTTTTGATGAAATATGATCATATTATTGATTTTTAAAGTTTTAAGTCCCATACATTGGCCATCTGCTTTAAAATCTCTTAAACAAACATTCAGGTAAAATAAAAATAGCATTAACCGGGAGCAAAATGCTCTAGTGTGTATGATCTAACAAGTGTATGTTTTTCCTTTACTCTCTTGATGTGCTAGGCTCTTAAGCTTTGGTGGAAAAGTGTTTCATTTGTCCAACATCCTAGGTATAATAATCCAGTTTATAGAGAGGAAGCTGTATCACGTGACAAGAAGTTAAATTACTGCAAGGCAGGGGACTTTGAAACAAGTTTGTGCCCCAGAGGAGACACCAATGTAATAGATCATCAATTTAGTTGGACAGATGCAAAATGGCCTTGGTCATAACTGCTAAAAGGTACCACATTTTATCTTCACTGTATCATTTGCATAGCTTAGAAGTTGAGTAGCTCTAGATAGGAGATATCTTTTTTTTTTTACAAAAATAGATGTTTGAATTTGTACTATTTTAATCCTGTGTTGCAATCATTTGTAGGTGGGAAGGATAGGCAACTAACTCAACCCTGTTTAGCCGAGTTGGAGGAGAGTGAAAGTGTGAAACTTTATAAAAAGGATATTGGAGATAAATCTAGAATCTAAATCATTGAAGACATTTTTTGGACACCATTAACATAAGAAACTTGATGAAATGGCATGTAGGTATGAGCAAAAGTTGTAAGTTTTCATGTACATAGTAACTTTTGCTTGTAATTCTAAACATACTATTTGGTCAGGTTTATTTTATAACTCTAAATCTAACAATTGTTTTGTTTTTACATTTCCTTGGTAAATACTCTTCATTTCTACCACTATTCTTAGATTTAAATCTTGCAGACTAAGAGAAGGCCTCAGGTAGTTGAAGGTATGGTAAATTTTTTAATTGATTTATTTTTAAGTGCTGTATTGTACATATTTCTATAAATCTTATATGTTGAATCAAACAAATTTGATATTGCTGATTTCAATTTAAATGAAATCATTGAACCAATTAAAACTGACACTTCGAATCTAATTCTATGCTTTTACCAGTGGTTGGCACGCGTGCAAAAACATGTAGTCCCCCTAAGGGAGCACGGTTAATTAATGAATGTGATAAGTCTGTAATTATGGTAAGAGTTTTTTCATTATGCTGGTCTTTGTATGTTAATACAAAAGATTTATCAATGATACAGTATGTAACGATAAGCTGAACTGCACATAGCTTCAAAGGTGCTAACTGTCTTAAAATCCTCAAATCCAGTAGTTCATATGTAGTGCAACTATTTTTAATAAGGCGCAGTTGTAAACCTAAAGTTGTGTTTCTAGGCTTTCTAGCAATGATGCAATGTAATGTTCGTGCTCAATATATACTTCGTATATCTTTACAAATCTACAGCAGAAGCATAAAGGTTAGGGGCTTCTATTAAAGTAATATATTATAATTATGAATTTATGATTATGCAGAGTGTTTTTCAGAATTGGCAGCTATGCAAATTAGTTTTAGTTGGATTTATCATCTTTAACAGTTCCAAACGTTGTTTATTGATACAGGGGTCTGAATGATGTCGAAATCTTTAGGATTTTCTTAAAAACACTTTTTTTTTTTAAATATTTACTTCTGTTTTTTTGCTTGGTTTAACTATGAATTGAACTTAGAGCTATTAAACTTTGAGATGGATACAAGTTTGAAAGGTAATAATGCATACCATGCCTTGAATATAAATTGCCTTTCTAAATCTTCTGTAAATGCAGTGAATGACTTCACCAATGACGCTCTATGCATTGTAATGTCGGTTTAGCTTAGAGTCTTCAATGTTTGTTATTACCCTATGATTTTGTTAAATTATGCTTGAATAAATTTTGATTTACTCCAATATTAGTACTTACTTCGTTTTTTTTATTATTGCACCATAAGGGTTGGGTGTAAATATTTTGGTAGTGGAAAAAAGTAAGAGAGAGAAAGGTAAAAATACAAAATTGTCCATGTGATATATTGATAAACTAAAAAGTAAGTGTGAAAAAGCAAGGGTATGTTGGGTATTTGTAGTGTGAACACACATAATTTTTTTCCTAAAGAGGAAATGATGCAATATTCGTAAAACTTCCTAAAAAGGCAAGTGGTGCAATAATAAAAGAACGGAGGAAGTATAATTTTGCTCGGGAAGATGGTGTTATGTTTTTTTATTTATTTTAATAAAAAAACGTGTTTTCTATGTCACACCTTGAGATCGTTTGTAAAAATTTGGAGTAACTCCTACAATACTGACAAATTAACACTATAACATTAAGTTACACTTAACCCTAACTGAGTAACCCTAAGTAATCCCATAGTGGCTTACCTCACCGTGTGACAAGTACATATAAAAATTAGTGTTAAAAAAGTAGCACCTCACACTTGGCTTATATAGAAGAGATGCATTCCATACTTGATTTTTCTTTCATTTCCAAAATCATTAAGTTTGAAATTCTACCCAATTCACACAAATTCTTTTAATCATTGTATTAGTCTTATTAGATTCATCATGTTCAAAATATAAGGGGGTGTTTGGTATCAAATTAGTAAATGTAAGGGAATGAGAACAAATTAGGAGGGGAAAGGGTAATATATAGTGTTACCCTTAGTAGTTGTTTGGTATTACTAAGAAAACGTAAACAATTATAACCAATCCCTTTCCTTTTGTTTGGTATAGGTAACTTGGAAACAAATAGCTTTCCCTCTAATTTTTGATGTCTTAGCTAACTTTTGATATACATTATATTATACAATGTAGAGCAACGCTAATTACCATTATATATATATATATATATATATATATATATATATATATATATATATATATATTGAACCGATCACCATAATATATCATATGCTAGATATAGGCAAAGTTACATAAATTGTTGATTACAAAAGCATTGAAATTCTAGTATTCTTTAAATAAAAAAAACAAAAGGCATTTAAAAACCATTAAAACATTAACTCAAATAACAACAACTTAGGACAAAACTTTCTACTTCTTCTTAAGAAATCAATTGCATATTGTTTCTTCATATTAGTTGGAGCTTGATAGAAGATGCGAATCTTATGTTCTTCCGCCATGAGAATTGTAGCAACCTCTAAAGCTTCAGATGGAGAAATTCCATCTAATTTCATCACCTCATCCAAATCCTTGTTCACTTTTTCATCCATCCTTTGCTCTCTTTCTTCCGCTTTAGACCATGCACTAGCCATAGTCCCAAGATTAACATTGATATTTTCAAATATCTTCCCAAAATTGTTAGAAACATCATGGAGGGAGGCCACCAAATCATCATCATCATTCCTACAAAAACTCTTCAAATCTACCTTGTTCTTCCCTTTACCTTAGCCTTCTTCGCCTTTGTAGAACGTTTTCCGGATTGAGTAGTGGAATCACTTGCGGAAGAATGAATCGTAGAAGCCTTCACTTTTGCCATTTTTGAAGGAGTACTTGAATGATCATCCTTTATCTTCATGGGACATTTTCTAGATTAACTTGTAGAAGAATAAGTGTCCGAATGAGTAGAATTCACATCATCTTCTTCATCACTCTCGACATTCAATGGTTGCTTATGAATCTCTTGATCCATATCTTCTATAGCATCAACAAACGACTCACTTGCATCTCCGGTAGTTTTGTCTTTTGCATAAATTTCTGCTAGAGTGTCATAATGAACGAAAGGAACTCCAAACAACCCCTTAACTTTCTTATGAGTCTGCAACAAGTCATAACATGTAAAATACAACATATGTTTATTGGAGCATAATCCTAAAAGACAATAAAGCAGCTACAACATTTGTTGTAAAGTACTAGGCCAATCAATGCCTTATTCCAAATCAAGGGTATGGCTTACAAACTTATCAGTCCAGGAGCTTTTCACCCTTCACAAAACCCACCACAGATGACAACCTCATGAAACCTATTAGCATTTGGGGTATGTCTGGTAGACTGTCACAAATCCAACTTATCATATTTCATTTGCAAAAACAACTAATGGTGTATAAAGAGCTAAAACAATTCTAACAACTTCAGTACCCTTAAGGCCTTGATTGATAGTTATCCTTTCATACTAACATGACAACAGCATATAGTTTAGGTTTTGAAATATCCAAGTTAATTAATTATAAAAACATAAACTTGATAACTTTATATTCTCAATTTGGCAAACAATTCAACATTCACCATATTTAGTTTAAATCTTGTTTGTTATTGTAATTCATTTAACATTTTCCCTGTACAGATTTCTTATAGGTTTTTGAAAATCTTTATATCTTTGCCCTGTCGAAAACGATTGTGTACTTAGGTCGACGAGTTGGTCCTATACTCCTATATAGCCAAAAGCCATCAATTGTCACAACATTTCATACAAGTTTTGCCAAGCTATACCAGTTTGTAGACATCAGATTATCAACACTAGCAATTTAGGCAAAGTCCATGTTAGACATAGAGCCAAGCAGATTAAAACTAAATTTTGCATTAATTAGCTAGCAACATGATTTGACCAATTTTCAATAAGCAAGAAGCAAAGAGCAGTTCATACCTTTACCCATCCGCCGAACAATAACTTATCTACTTGTAGAATCTTCTTCTCAACATCCCATCTAAATCCTGAGGTGGATAACATTTCCGCCAATGCACTATATTTCTCCGACCAATGCTTGATCCTTGACTCAATGTGGGGAACCGCTCTCAAGCTGCAATTAGGAAGTACACCATTGATCATCTATTCCAACTTATTCATGTAACCATTCTTAAACCCATTCTCATACTTCCACTTCGGATCGCAACTCAACTCATGCAAATATCTTATTAGAACCGCGTCTTCTTCATACGTCCAATACCTTTTATTTTTGCCTCTTCCTCGATTGCTTGCCTCACCCTTAGCTTGACTATCCTCCATCTGAAAAAAATGTAGATTAAAAGGCATATTAGAACTGAACAGAACAAATTACAAGGCTGATTATAATAAAACATATCATACATAACATATTATAAGGCATATTAGACAAAACTGAACATAACATATTATAAGGCATATCATACTTTTTGTGTTATTGACCATGTCTACCTCTGGCCCTCCAATCGTTAAACATATCTTGGGCTAATGTGTTTCTAAAATTGGTCCAATGATCTGAAGTAGGAACACTTGTAATAAACTCCCTCTCATCATCAGAATCACTCTCGGAATCATCATCAGATTCACTCAATTCATCTTCTTTTATATCATCCGTAGGCATGAATTTTCTAATTAGATTATGCAATAAGCAACAAGCCATCACAATACGTCCATGAGTTCGAATAGGGAAAAACGAGGGACTTCTAAGTATACTCCATCTTCCTTTAAGTAGGCCAAAACATCTCTCAATCACATTTCGCGCCTAGCATGTTTCATGTTATAGAATTCCTCGGCACTTTTGGGTTGTCGATCCATCCATTATTTTAAATGGTATCTTTGACCTCTATATGGAGCAAGAAAACCCTCACAATTCGTACACCCTGCATCAGCCAAATAATATTTACCTTCAAAGTTATTAAACAAAATGATTACTACCTACCAAAACTAACAAAACATATATACTCACAAAAAAAAGACCTTCACTTACCTCGAGGTACCCTAAAACCATTTGGTCCAGAAAGAGCATTTCGAAGTACACGCATATCATGGGCCGAACCTTCCCAACCAGGAAGAACATAAATAAATTGCATATTAGGTGCACAAACACCCAATACATTCATAGCAATTGTTCCTTTTCTTATTCTATACTTTGGTTGTTCTTGTGAAGGCACATTTACATTAATGTAAGTCCCATCTAATGCCCCTAAACAATTCTACAAAAATAGGAAAAAAATTACTTACAAACAAGCAAAAATAAGAAAATTCTAGCAAAACGCACGGGCTTTGAAAATACCAATACCTTGAAGGATTTCCACCTTTCATCTTCACAATCATCTGATATTGGTGTGGGATTGTAAAGTAGTACTTCATGCAACTTGAGAAAATCCCTTAGACAAAGGTGAAATTGTCGGCTCACGGTTTCTCCACTTCTGAAGAAGTATTGTCCAATAGACCTATTCTTCTTATGATGAGCCAACGTGTATAAAAACATGGCTACTATCTCTTGAAGCGACATGTTTTTTGTTCCACTTAAACCCCCAATGTCTCTAAGCATCTCACAAATAATATTAAAAGTTCTTCTATTAACGCGAAGCTCGCTCTTGCATTTCACATCACTCTCCCTATATAAAGCCCTCTCAATACTAACATTCGTAACAATTTTTTATTTCTTTTCCTTTCTTTTATTTGAACACCCTTTATTGTAACAACACACATCATATGCCACATCCAATACATCATCAAAATAATAATAACCATTGAAATAACTAGTTGTATTTGTTTTAGCTTTTTCTTCCTTATGGAACGCATAAGTCGAGGCATTGTAGAAACCTTGAAAAATCAATCCAAAAAATGTACACTAGTATCAATATACACTAGTATCACAAAAATGTACACTAGTACAATAGCAATTCAATCAAGTAACAAAAATTAGAGACCCAATCTACCTTAAAAACCAGCAAAGCAATAGCAACCAAACAACATTAACAATCTGCCTCAATAGTAGCAGCACACAATAACATTTGAAATGCATTGTTATTGTTTTATGGATACTTTTTTATTCAATTATTTACCATTGACTTTTGCTAAACAAAGCTGATTTGCAGAACAAAATCAGTAAGTATTACTATTAAGCATCAAATCGAAATTTGGGGGAAAAGAAGACAAATAATAATAGGAAATTATAATAGCATAAAATAGAAATTTGCAGAATAAAACATCAGTAAGTATTGATTCATCAACACTGATAAAAGAAACCAAATAATAATAGCAAATTATACCATCTAATTTAAGCTTAAATCAAAATTTGGGTTGAAAACACAAAATAACAACAAATAACATGCAATAATAGCAATGTATACCATCAAATTCAGCAGAATATCAACAAAAAGAGAAAAAAAATACTTCAATCAAACAAGAAAGTAAATAATTCAAATCAGAATGCGAAATTGACATCATATAAACCCTAGAAATTGAACAAGCAAAAGTGAAGAATTTACCGTATTAGAGATTGAAGAAATATGTAGATTTTAGGTAGAAAACTAAAAATTTTGGTGTGAAATCAGTTTTCTTGGAGAATTTTCAGAAAAATTATCGAGCGAAGTTGAGAATTGTCGCTAGAATGGTTGAACTAGAGGAGAGAGAAAATTTGTTTCCCTTTTTTTTTAACTTTGGAAACGTTATTTGTTTCTCCTTATTTTACTTTGGAAACAAAGTAATGGAAACGGTTAGAGCCAGGAAACGGTTTTTGTTTCTTTAGCGATTAAACAAACACATTGTAAGGGAAACGGGAACTGATTCCGTTTCCAACTCTACCAAAAACCCATACACCCCCTTAGTAGAGTGAATGAGTAACCCTAAACTCCTAAAGTCCAAACTATTCCCAGCAAAAGTGAAAAATCACGAAAAAAAATCAAACGGGTATTTAACGGGCACCCGTGGAAGTCAAAGTATGGCACATTACCCGACCCGAAACTCAAACTTTTTAACGGGTCGGGTACCCGACCCGCAAAAAGATGAAAAATTCAAAAATTACCCGTCGGGTAATTTGCGGGTCATCGGGTTTTCGGGTCGGTCAAGCGGGTCGGGTATTTTTGAACACCCCTAAGTATTACCTCTCCAAAAATATTTGTCAAATTGGAAGTATTAACATTAGTGGGAAGGTCCCCAAATGCTTATTTTGGAGTTATACCCAGTTAATTCCCAATTTTGTTTATCTGGGGTATAATCGTCTATTTAAGTACCAGTGGAGGGTTACATGCGTCTTTTCATGTACTAGTTGTGAGGTACATTGTAATTTCCTCACCAAACAATAAATGCAAGTTGCAAACAGTAATTGAAGAGCTCACCAAAAGTACTGAATAAATGACCACGCTTTTTCAATATCAATAACAATATACTAAAAGACACACTAGAAATGACACGTGTCATCTTTTGGTGTGTCCTTAGTATGTTTTTTTTAAAAAAAAAACTTTTTAAAAATTGATAGATATATACACAATATATTTACTTCCAAAATTTAGGTAAAAAAAATCGTAGAATAATATATTTTTAAACTTAAATATCTAACCATATTTTTGTATAAATAAATTCCTACATTTTTAATTATTTTTTAATATATAATGACTATTTATAGTAAAAAAAAAAACCATGAATATATATTTTTCAACTTAAATAATTGGTGAATGAAAAAATATCATATTTGAAAAAAAAATGCCATCAAAGTTCAAAATAGAAGAAAGCAATATAATATGTATTCAAAAAAGATAAAAAAAAATATTTTAAGTAGCTTGTTTGAGATTAAAAAAAAAAGATTTTAAATTGATACTCCGTTACAAAAGATTGAAAAACCGTGTATGGCACGGGATCTAACCTAGTATTTACAAAAATGCCACCAGATTAACAAAATTTCGTATATCTGTCAAATAAACTTGTATTTGCCCCTTATTTTGTGAAATGACGAACCTAACTTCCCATAAATATTGATGCTCTTAGGTCACCCAGAATCGAACTTATAACTTCTAGACGATTGACTTGTAGGGTTAACAAAAAAGAAACTTCATATGTATTATGCATCTTATTTTTATTTTTTTTTTAATTTTTTTTTTAGTGGTCATAGTTTTCTACAAATTAGAAAAAGCTTGGAATTAGGTTTGGAACAAGGGCATGATTGATATAGTACACAAATCTGATTCTAGAAGTCGATGATTAGGAACCTTGTCAAAGGAAGATGACTAGAAAAGGCTTTGTATTCTACATCTCAGAAGACGATATTATTGTTGTGTATTTGGTTATAGTTGTTCTAATACGTATGTATTTTTAGAAGATTTTGTCATATACATTAAGGATTTGGTACAATAGGGTAATCTGCCAAGTTAAGATATGCTTCGGCTTTGAGATTTCTACATCAAATTTATTAGTCACACAGGCTGGTATAGATGCCTTAATTCTAGTTTACTCTGCAGATGTAATAGCAAACCACAGTTTCGACATTATGATATCCAACAACACAATATCCATGTATTTTATAGGTACAAATAGTCTAAATGTTGCCCAACTTTCAAGATAGTCTAGAGTGCTATACTTAAGTACATGCTATTGCTGACTAAAAATGAAAGCTCCAATCCCTAATTGTAAATAATTGGAACAAAGAGGTGTTTTTAAGGCCTGGGGAGAATAATGTTTCAAATATTTGAAGCAATAATATTTAGTTTTGAGGGGCTTGCCAGAAGGTAATCAAGGCAACAATGTTTTCATCTTTATTCACAAAGATCGCCATTCTCTGAGCTCTTTACCTCCTTTGAGAGAATGCATCTCACTTCCCTAGCAAGATCCATTACATGTGCATCCTACCCGATTGGCAACAAAAAGAGAAAGGAAATATATTTAAAGTTATAACAGGCAAAACAAGATAGAACATCAGCATAGTAAATGTCAAATACAGAAGTCCAGAGTAAGCATACCGAGTTCAATTAGTTACTTGTAAGTATGATATATAGAGGCTACAAACATTGCATCATTGCATAGGGGAGAAAAACAACTATGGAAACCATCGGTAAATTCAGTGTGTTCACAGAAACGAATATTCAAAGTTTTTAGCATTCTTTTCCATGCCATTGCCTAAAACATTGATTGCCATCCTCAATGCAAGTTGCCACAGGAACAATTGCCAGAAAAAAGAAATAAAAAAAAAATGAACAGAAAAATTGCGACATTTGCAAGAACGAGAGGGAAAAAAACATGGTGAGATTTAAACATACTTGGCTAACTCCTCTAATGGTGAAGGACCCAAGTAGTTTTGATTCATCTTTTTATCCGAAGAGGCTACATATCTGAAATTTTTACAAATATCACTACATCAGTGAAACAGTCTAATTGAAAAAGAGTTCCATCTAACACACTTAACAAAGACTCAATGTGATCAAGAAGGTGTCAATTTGGCCACTTACACCAACACATTGCTCACAGCTGGTGTTGAACTGGTTGATTCCTAAACATGTAATTTAAAAACAGTACATCAACCAATGGTGCATGAGATGCAGAGTATTAGACTTGTAGAGATCAAGATGGATTAAGAGAGATAAATTTAGCATTCAGTATTTCACTACTAACCGTATAAAAATCCAAATAAACCTTTTGGTCATATTGTTTCTCTCTCACCTCCAAATACTGCGTGCCATTACACCAAAGAAGGGATTCTGTTAAAATGGTGGCATCGATCATGAACTCTAGGGAAAGAGGAAATATGGTGGTTGCATTAGCTTTTAAAATATTACCGAGATTGCAGTTTCAATATCCTCCTTTTGGGAAACCATGTAAGCAACTCCATACTAACATGAACTAATAGAGTTGAATAAATTACCAAGTAATAACATTTGTACATTGCATTAAAGCAGGAAAATTCCAAATCATCAATACATAAGATGTGAAAAATAGCACTTTATACAAGGATTACAAGCAAAGAGTCAGAATGTCGGCTATAATAAATTGTTAGAACTACACTTCTAGCTCAAAAAATCCTCCCAAGTCAAAAGTTAAGGTCATTGTGAAAGAGGACGGCCTAATCTAGCACTAAACAAGATCAATGTCTCTCATGATCCTCATCAATAATCGACTAAGTGTTTCAGACTAGAACATCTTCTCAATGCCGGAAACCATGCATTCCTCCTGGGCTGGGCTCTTGCGGTTTTAAAGGTTTTTTAAAACTGAATTGCTACTCTATATTAGATTAACCCTTAAAAGGTTTTCTAAAACTGAATTGCTACTCCATATTAGATTAACCTTCAAAGGTTTTCAAAATCTTATTGCTACTCTATATAAAGTTTACCCTTAGTTTCGTTGGTGGCTATAGAATTGCAATCAAAAGCAAGATTTCATAACTGTTGAATTTTGTGTCCCTAATTTTGTTAGTTATAGTGTTATACCCAAATGAACAGGTGGGAAATCATACTTAATGTACAGCAGAACCTTAAACTTTTAACAGATTTGATTGTGATCATACTATATGGTGTACAAATTAATAATGCGAGAATGAATAATGTTGTATATCCCTACCTTTTAAAAAGTATGAGATAATCTTATGAATAGTGTTGCTTGGACAATTATACCCTCTAAAATGTTTATTTACTTAATTACTCCCATTAATGTTAATTAGCTTTTTTTTTTTTTAACTCTTAAGAATAGTGTGCAGACATTGATACCCTCAACAATATTTGTTTACATATTTTTCCTCATTAATGTTACTAGCAACAAAATTTGTGATGTAGGGCCATGGCGCACGCATCGCGTTCGTTAGCCACCCTAGTTCATAAAAAACTATCACACAATATAAGTACAAGGCTAAGGCACTAATTATGTAATGTACAGCTAACCGAGCAAAGTGAGTCAATTATATAACAATACAAGTCCTGGGGAAATATGTTACAAAGATAGATGAATAGAAGATAGTAATCGTTAAACTAGACTTAAACAATTCAAAAAAACAAGTCAAAAATATGAAGAGATTGTTGTGGAAGGAAATCAGCCCACGATATGCATACCAAGAATAATACAAGTATCTATCTGCTAAATCTAGCAAGAACTAAAAGCAACTCAGAAGAACAAGGTAAAGTGACACTATTGATCCAACCAACATTTACAAAATTCTAAGTTTTGTATCCAATGTTAATTTATTTTCATCCCAAATTAATAATAAAATGAAGGAGTTAATTTTAAATTTTCAAGTACAGTAAAAATCAGTGCTCCAAGTAAGTTCATTAACATGATTTGATCGTATTCATCAATTTATGACGACAACAGTTACAAAAATACCAAATCCTTAATCTCAAATGGAATTATAGCTCAGCTCAACAGCAATAACAATAATACCAAATCCTTAATCCCAAACGAAAACGAAATCATATCTAGGCTCGACAACCAATTGACTGTTGGTGTAGTAGTGATTGAGACTACGTACACTTGGTAGAGATAACCCATGTTCGATCCCCCGCAACAACAATTGGGATGAAACTAGAACCTTACCACTCAGAAGTGTTCCCCGAATCAGAATTAGCCCAAAGGGTGAACCGGGTGGAACACACTGTAGACATCTACTTTTGGCCTCCTGTCCCGAAAGGAAGTGCAATGACGACAAATAAAGTCATCTTTGTGTTGGATCAAAGTGAAGAATACTTATGGATAACTGGTTTAGCCACAAAACACAAAAGACTATCCCAAATTAAAGAAAAAGCCAAAACAAATGTCCAATTAACTAAACCAGATCATAATAAAGCTGAAGTTCGTGCTTAAACCCTAATAATGACGGATTTAGGAGCGCCTAGGTTAAAACTTAGTGCTGCCGCAGAAAAAGCCGCGCGCAACTCACAAAGTCGCGCTGGGCTACCGCGAGCAACTATGTCAGTTGCGCGCGACACCCAGAGTTGCGCTGTAGAGGATTTGTAATTATTTGGAAATTATACGGTAAATATAAAATTGAATCTTACCATAAAGCCGCGCGTAAGAACAATAGTTGCGCTGCACATAGCAGCACAACTCTATAACTTGCGCTGGGTTGCCGCGCGCAACTTCATTAGTTGCGCACGACACCTGCTGCGACAGATTGCTCGAAACCCTAAACGTAATCCTTCTCTATAAATACGAGCTTAAACCGAGGCTTCAACAGACAGAAATTAACCTAAAAACTCTGGCGAAATAACTTGTGAACTTGTGCAACCTAGCCCTCTTGTCCTAAACACTCACCCTTTCGATACGTTGTTACTAAGGTGGAGGTTCCCCAACAAGAAGGTGTCCATAAGTGTTCTAAACGGAGATCTAGCAAAGAGAAGTGGTAAATTCCCGAGTACTTAGTTAAATCACCTTTATTTTCTTGTTTAAAAGGACTTTAATTAATTAATTAATTAGTGTTGTTTGATCACTTTTAAAATAATTAATTAATCAACTCCACACAGTATCTTGCGTTAAATAAAGACTAGAATTGAATTAAATAATTGTTGGTTGATCACTTAAGCCAAGGCGAATCTTGTCTATTTATTGTTCTTTCACGAATATTATTAAATAAGAAAAATGACAATGTAATTCCTACGTGAATTAATGTTTGTAAATAAAATCAACTAACACAGTTTTAGGTATCACGTTGCATATATTGTTTGGTGATGAAATTGTGAAAAAGGAAGAGCTAGTAGAGGTCGTACTAGGGTTAGGATGACGATTCCTCTCTAAAAGGAACGTTATCTTAGTACCCTCGCTCCCGAACTCATTTTTGGTTTATAGACCAATTTGGGCATGGGTAAACTTATGATTTGGGCTAATTATTCCATGAACTCCACATGAAAGATAGGCATGAACGAGGTTTATGAGTTTTTCCTAAAACTCATTGGCGACTCCTACTTGTTTCTTATAAAAAAGCGTGATGATAGAATCAATTCTAATTCAAGGTACCCCAAGCAATCAGGAATTCAAATCCTACTACACCTTAACAAGTGTAAAGTCCTAGGCTTTTAAGTCGCCAAGGGCATTTAAGGAGAGTACCCCTTACGATGGGATCACCCTCCTTACAGTGGCGACTCCATTGGGAATTTAGAGGTTACATGATTAATTCGTATTTATGGTTCAAGGTATCCAACACTAGGTTTCCTATGGGTTGTAACAAGAATTAACTTGGATAAACTCTGGTTAGAGAGCGAGACTTGAGCGCATAATGTCTTCCTTTTGCACAAAAGTAAAAACCAAACAAGCAACATTGCGTCATGCATAAGAATATGACACTTAAACCATTGGGGATTGGCTCATTGACTAGGGGTCGCCAACACTAGGCGTCTATCCCAAAATCAATAACAATCACCCCACTCATATCACCAACAAAATGTTGGGAGGGCGATGTCATGGGTCAACACGTTGAGTTATTGATTTATGCATCGTTTCTTAAGGTATGGTACCTTTGGACACCCAAGCCTTTTTTGACCTTAGAATGGCATCGTGAATCTTGACTTATAACGTGCTTATGTGATTATGTGACTATGTGCAACGTGTTAGGATAGTCTTCTTTTTCTTTTTTTTTTTAGTTTGGTCTAGGTTTCCAATTACGAAGTTAGCGTCATATTCAAAGGATAACATAAAAAAAAAATAAGGGGGTCAAATAAAAAAAATCGATTAAAAAAAACGCTCGAATTAAAAAAAATACTACGAGCAGGTGGCGCGCGCAACTTAAGAAGTTGTGCGACCCCTCCCAGCGCAAGTTATTTTGTTGCGCGCGAGAGCCGCAAGCAACTGAGTAACTTGCGCGCGCTCACTGGACGAGTCAGTTTTGATTTCTCAAAAAATAAATTGACTCGTCCGAAAAATATCATCATTGAAGAATTGTTAAGGGCGATGTTATCTGTTTGAGTATATTTTGCGTCTTTTTTTTTTCCTTTCAAAAGCAAGCGTATCGATTTAATTATCCTTTCGTACTCCTTTAGGGCCAGTTTTCAAGCTTGGGAAAGAGGATTCCCGGGCACTCGCATTCTACGTTTACCACCCAAAGATCAACCCCTTTCAAACCACTTTCATTCGACAACTAATCCTAGTCCAACAATAATGACAACCGTCGAAGAACTTCAACAAGAGATTCTTCGTATGAGAGAGGAAAAGGCTCAAGAGGCTGAGGAGAGAAGAATTAATAAGATGGAAAACGCTGAAAAGAAAAAAGTTGAATTGTTAGCCTTACAAGAAAAGATTGAGCAACTATCCATCAAAGAAAAGCCGTTAGAGAAGCTAGCTCTTCGTTCTACAATGGGGAACAAGTACTTTGACGCAGAAAAGTTTGCTCCTCCCCTAGGACTTGCTTTACCAGAAAAGTTCGTAGCTACGGACTTGCCAATATTTAAGGTGACCAATAATCCACCAAAACACTTAATGTGTTTTACTGGCACTATGCCACTAAAGAGAGTTGATCCTAAGCTTTATGCTTTGACTTTCCCTTTATCACTAGACCCAACCGCGAGAGAGTGGTACTATGGGCTAGATCCAAAATTTAAAGCAACATGCAAAGATGTAGTTTCGGCTTTCATAACCCAATACAAGAGTAACGTAGAGTTCAAGTCAACTTTACGTGAACTCGAGATGCTTAAGCAAGGCGACGATGAAGGTTTCCTTGCTTTCTATGGTAGATGGCAAGAAAAGGCGGCCCACCTTGCCCAAAAGCCTCCTGAACTCGAGTTAGTACAAAAATTCATTGACAAATGTCATGAAAAGTACAACAAACATCTACGTTACCTTG